CTTTTTTGGAAATTAGTGAACTGTTTCCAAAATAAATACAGAAATGCAAAGCATCTAAAGTAGAATATGTTCAATAAAAAAGACAAAGTTGTAGACCTAACATTATTAGATTTGAAGACTTATCATATGATGACAAATATGAGACCAAGAGAATAAATAGATATTCCAGAAGTAGATCTATACACTTATGGACAATTAATTTTTGACAAAGTTTTACAGAAGATTAAATGGAAAAAGGATAGCCTTTAAATAAATGGTGCTCGACTAATTGGATGTCCATATGTAAATAATGCATCTCTAATTCATACCATGCCTTATATAAAATATGAACTCAAATAAGATTTAAGAGTTAAGTCTAAAATTACAAAAATTCTAGAAAAAAGAAACAAATTATTTGTGACTTTAGATAAGACTCAGATAAATAATAGAATAAATTGATATGTTGTAATTCATCTAATTCATCAAAATTGAACTGCCCTTCCAAAGGTACCATTAATGTAAAGACAAGCCACAGACTGGGAAAAACTATTCATCAAGCTATATGTGTAACGTCTAATAAAGAACTTGCATTCAAAATATTTTTTAAAATATTCTCAAAACTTAAAATAACAAACAACCCTATTAAAAGATGGGTAACTGATTTGAATAGACACTTCATCAAAGAAGACGTGGATAGCAATAGGCACATTAAAAGATGTTCAATGTACTTAGTTTTTAGAAAAAGTCCAAATGAAGTGCACAATATGACAGCACTATACACCTATTTGAATGAATTTCAAGACACTGTCCACACTAAATTTGGTCAAGAATCCTGAGAGAACTGAAATTTTCACACTACCGGTGAGAAGATAAAGCCATGGAGTTACTTCAGAAAATAGTTTGATGGTTGCTTAACATTTTAAATACATACCTACTGTAGGATTTATTGATTCCCATTCTAGGTGTTTCCCCACCGGAAATGAAAGCATATGTCCATGCAAATATTTGTACATACAAATTCATACCAGTTTTATTTGTAACACTGCAAATTAGGAAACAATGCAAATGTTCATTAACAGATGATTGAATATAAAAACTGTAGCACACCCATGCGATGAAATACTACCAAGCAGCAAAAATGAAGGAAGTATTGATACACTCAACAATGTGAATGAATCTCAAAAAAAAATCATTCTGAATGAAATAAGTCAAACAACAACAACAACAAAAGGTACACTGTATAGTTCCTTTTACACAAAATTCTAGGAAATATAAGGTAATAGATAAGGCCAGAAAGTAGGTCAGTGGTTGCTTTGGGAAGGGGTAGCCAGTATCAGTTTTAAGGGGTGACCATATGCCAAAACCTATTCAGTGGTACATTTTATACATGTAAAATTTATTTTGTATCCATTTTTTCTTAATATAGCAGTTAACAACATGATAATTTTAACTACATTTATAACAATATTTTGGTCTGGGCTTCATGAACGATTACCTGAATGATGGCTCAAAAATCTCCTTTTGACATGTGATCAGATGAAAGAAGATAGTAAATGCTGCAACACGTGTGCCAGTGGAGAATTTGTAATTCTTTCCACATAATGTAACTTAAAGTTTACCAAGAGACTATCTGGTTTAATGTAATAACCAAATGATCTTTTAAAGACATTCATACTCTCACTCATTCTTTTGCACTCATCAAATATTTAATTAGAGGCATGCTCTCTGAAAAGTGTATGTATATCATGTTCTAAAAAATCAGATGCAAATTTTATCTTTATGCTCTCATAGAAAAGATGTTACACAAAGTATGTACAAACAACGAAGTCATTTTAAATCCTTAAAATACATAACAGAGAGCTTGATACACAGGATATACTCAACAACAATACCACATCGTAAACAAGAGTGATCAAAGGATAGATCCAGTATCGTGGGGCGTTTAGAGAAGGAAGATCTGTGTGTCTGTGTGTGTGTGTGTGTGTGTGTGCACGCGCGCGTGTGGGCAGAAAGGGTATGTTTGAGGGGAAGTACTGAGTGTCTAGAAAGCTTCCTGAATTGGATGACTTTGAGAACCAATTAAATACTGCCCTACAGCACAGGAATACAGGTAATATGAAGATGAAGCTGGGTAAATGGATCAGAAGAAGAAAAACAGATTTAGGTCTGAATTTTATATTTTTCCTTTTTTAAAAAAAAATTGATTTCACCTTCCTCTTCATTGTAATCTTCATTAGTAGAACAGAAAATAAATTGAAAATAAATAATTAAAATGACAGTTCTATGGCATACATCAAAAAATGGAGGTTTGTATATTAATTGTATATGAGAAGATAGCTACCTGCTCTTAAAAAATAAGAAAAAAGTATACAGCCATCACATAAAAAGTTTCCCATACCAGGTTTTTTCATAGCTTGCACAGCTTCTTCCTTTCATCACTGGACTCATTTTTCCACCGTCCTGACCCCAGTTTAGGATACAGTGCATTCAGTGCGGTTTCTAGCCATAAACTCTAGAGTATAGAAAAAGATTCACATTACTCTGGGTATTTGGTTCAGGAGTTTACCTTGGGTTTTAGGTTGGATTTTTTTACTCGCAAATGTTTATAAACCTGCTACTCCATGCAACGCATTGTTCTAGCACTAGATGAGAAATGCCAAAGACTGAAAACACTTTCACCATCAATGGAGACTGCAATAGACAAATACAGATGATGGAGATAACACACCTACAATGTCGAAGAGGAAAAAAGTACTGAGTAAAGAGCAGGCTTACTTCAAGGTTTTGCTTGCACCTTGTGGAGGTTCTAATTCCTTTTGCATCTCCTAGAGGTGTTTACTAGCTTCCATATGCATATATTACCACACCATGAAGTAGTGTCTATATACTTGAGAGATGATTCTTCATGCTTCTATTTCTTAGGACTCTTTTTTAAAGGTTTAATGTTTGAAAATGTTAGTAGGTGTTATATGACTGCATATGTTAAGTGAATCTCCCTTGCGTAGTTGAATGGTGTGGGAGTGCACTGTTAAACCATCTGGTTGGTCCAGTTAAAAAATCCCTCGTACTTGATGAGATAGGGATGTAGGCTGAGGAGCTGGCCTGGTTGAAGAGCTGTGGGAACACCCTCCTCCTTCCTTCCTTATTTCTTCTGAGGTGGAAATGTGATGCTCCAAAACACATTTCCTCTCTTTTCAGTTCCTTCTGTCCTTTTCTTAAGCTTAATAGTTTTGTGTTCTGGAAACTATTTCATTGGTTTTTGATTTTATAGTCCTCTCTTTAGTCAAATGTACACAGCCAAGGGTACTGAGGAGTAAACCAAAGTAGAACAATGTTACACTCCTTTCAAATTCATTCACACTTTCACCAGAGTGATGTTTCACAGGTTTTAATATTATCAGGTGACTTTCCTATGTAAAAGCACCTAGTCACTCTCCATGACAAAGTCCAGCTCTTTGGCATAGCTTGTCCGTATCCTTACCTCGCTACCTTTCCAGGCGTCTTTCCCATAGCCTTCTTTGTAGAATTCACTGCAGCCATACTGCTTTCCTAACGGCCTAACTGCCTTCCTTCTGCCTGCCCAAAAGTGTACCAGGCTCACTCGTGCCTTTGCTCCCTCAGATGCCTCCCTAGATCACGTTTTTACCTCCCTTGTTAATCTGGTTCCCCCACCCTCCTACTTCAAGACTTGTCCTTCTAGGTCAGCAAATCTGGAGAGCTTCTGCTCTTGCTCTAGGGTGAGCCAAGTGCCTCTTTGCTCCCTTTGCCCAGTGTACACACTCCTAAAGCAATGCATGATATTATGTTACTCTGTTAAATCACAGGTTATATCTTGGCATCTGTGCCTGGCACATAACAGGCACTCAGTAAGTATTTATAGGACTGAAGTGAAATAAATAGTGTTTTAGGTAATCAAGTACAAAGCAGAGGTTTAAGAGACTAAATAGCTCATTGTGATCATCTTTGTCATAGATTGTAGTAAAAATAACCTGTGAAAAGTGACTGATTATTGACAGGTAGCCTTGGGTATGCAGCTCAAGTAGGCATTATAAAATAAAAAACATAATATTCCACATATTTTCAAAAAAAACTTCTGGCTTACTCAAAAGGTAAGTGTTCTTTAAACAACTTCAGTGGAAAAGGAGTTACTTCCAAATCCTTGGAGAACTCCTTCTCAAGCCCAGAATAAAGCAAGGTCTACAGAGACAAAGTATAAATGAAACTATGATCCTGAGCTGGTACCACTATTGGGCTGCTAAGCAGTGCTAAGCATTGCCTTCAGATGAGTTACCTAGACAGATTCCACAACTATAAAGTGAGACGAATAATAATACATAAAACACTAAGCATTTGAGTAAATTAAATTATTTATGTAGAGCAATTAGAACAGTACTGTACCTTATAATATTTAAAACAGAAATGTAAATTCTGCTTTGTTACCAAGGGTCAACTCCACACAGTTTTGCAATGGACCCTTCCCCAGCCCTCCAAAAGCTGAATATTGTTGTGTATCATATCCAAATTCAGTATCACCAGAGCATAGAGTAAGTGCCAACTGTAAGGCCATAGCTATGCGTCCACTCCGCTGAAATACATTGTGTACCTTCATTCTTAGAGTTGGATCATTGCATTTCATCCTCTAGAGTGAGAATAGACTGCACGTTGGAGAGGTCAGGGAAATTATGTCTTTCTATGTCTAGCCCTTTATAGGTCTGATCATTTGAGTGCTTGACATAATCTATCCACTTATCTATCCCTACAATAATAAAATACGGGAGTAAAGTAGCTCTTATCTCTAGTGGGAGAGTGCATATATTTTATATGTCAGTTCTTTAAAAGGGGAAATTCTTTCGGAGCTTCAGAAAATATCACGGAAGACTTAAAGGAATGTTTGGGAAGAACATGCCTGAGTATTACCTACTAGAATTACAATTTTACTGCTTTAAAGTAATTATAATTTTCATTGCAGGATCTATTAAAAAGGCTTTTACCTGACAGTAATTCTTCTTGTACTTACAGGTCATTATTACAATGAAGGGAAGAAAGGAAGACATGAAGGGGAAATGGGACTATTTACCAAGTGTATCTGCATAGACTAAAGGAGACAAGAGGAAGTACTGAGCACCTTGATTCCTGCAGAAAATTAATTATTTGAGAAGCATAAGAATTCTTCCCTAGCTTCTTATAAGCCTGCTTATTCAAAGGGTGAGTAGTTGACATGATTTTACATCCCATTCATATTTCTTTATTAGATAATTTTATTTCAAATCTAGTCTTAATTTTTTCTGAACCTTCTGGAATATGTAACATTTTATATGATCATTTATGTCATCAAGAATGGAGATTTATATTCTTTTCTATTCACATGTTTATATAAATAATTGAGCACCTCTAAATGCCAGATTCTGTAATTTTATATATTGTTAATAAGTATCTTCACAGCTGGGCATAGTGGCTCACGCCTGTAATCCAAGCACTTTGGGAGGTTGAGGTGGGCAGATCATCTGAGATCAGGAGTTTGAGATCAGCCTGGTCAACATGGTAAAACCCCATCTCTACTAAAAATACAATAATTAGCTGGGCGTGGTAGGGTGCATCCATAGTCCCAGTTACTAGGGAGGCCAAGGCAGGAGAATCGCTCAAACCTGGGAGGCAGAGGTTGCAGTGAGCCAATGTCGTGCCACTTCACTCTGGCCTGGGTACCAGAGTGAGATCCTGTTTCAATAAATAAATAAATTTAAATAAAGTATCTTAATGACAGACATTTAAATATATATAAATATTTCCACTTATATATGGGAAGAGAGATCTGAAATTTTAAGCAACTTTTAAAATTGTTCCTCCAACATCTGTGAAAGAAGTAAAGTCACTTATAGATCTATCTTACTTCAGAGCCTATATCTTCCTCTACCATACAACACTGCATGTTCACAGACACAGAAACCTTTTACATTTCTAAAATAAATAAAACATCCAAACTTCAGTTTTTAAAAAATGCATTCTACAGATCCACCAGAGACTAAACGACCAAACATAGTCAGAGGTGTTTACTTGTTTGTTTCGGTCTTAAGGGAATCTTCAAACTGCCCTAGAGCCTCGTGTATCCAATGAGTGCAGTTTGGACATTGAATGAATGGTGATATCATTAAATGACCTATGGAGCAAGATGTAGGAACACGTTCAAGAGTAAATAACATATTTGGCTTCCGAGGTATAAAAAAGGAGGGAGACTTTCTCTGGACATTTGGGTACCCAGTGTTTCATACTCAGGAGGTTTTCTATCTTCAAGTTATGGAATAAACTATGCTTTAAAGAATGCTGCATCAGCAGAAAGTGTTTCAAATATAAGGAAATTGTCATAGCTTTGAAATTATGTCAAATATCATTTTAACTAAGAAAGCCATTTTCTTTCCATATGTTTATCCAGAAGAAAATTTACTGGACAAAATAAATATAGAACAACTTCATGTGTATTCATTACTGTTTTGATAGGCAGTTACTATGAAATATGAATAATCTAAAAATCATTTCAACCATTTGTTTTTAATAAATCTCATTTGTGATTGATTTATTAAAAACAGGGCCTCCAGAAGAAAGAAATTTAATACCTTTCCTCCATCATTATGAAGGCACTAATACTGACGTAACTAAAATTACGGGGGAAGAGGGAGGAAGCTTGTGGGAGGAAGAGATGATGTAGAGATGGTGTGTAACCTGGGTAAACAGTCTCTCGACTGTCTAGAGTTGGCTGTATGAGTCTGTTGTTGGCTCCAGTTATAAGAACTAAGGTTTGTATGTAAGGAGAAACATCCTTAATTTGCTTAGCAAGTCGTATGTATTTGATGGACCACTGATTTTTTGTTTGTTTGTTTGTTTTGAGATGGAGTCTCACTCTGTTGCCCAGGCTGGAGTGGAGTGGTGCGATCTCAGTTCACTGCAACCTCCACCTCACAGGTTCAAGTGATTCTCCCACCTCAGCCTCCCAGGTAGCTGGGATTACAGGCGCCCACCATCACACCTGGCTAATGGCTAATTTTTTTTTTTTTTTTTCAGTAGAGACTGGATTTCACTATGTTGGCCAGGCTGGTCTCGAACTCCTGACCTCGTGATCTGCCCACCTCGGTCTCCCAAAGTGCTGGAATTATAAGCATGAGCCACTGCACCCAACCCCAATTTTTAAAAGGGATTCTAGAATTTCAGTTGAACATGTGTTTTTGAAGCAACTCCATATCGAACAGGGAAATCAGAGTAAGTAAACCACTGCAGGAAAATCAGGAAGGCAGGCTCCAATGTATGTTTTCTGTGTATAACCTACTTTAATAAGGAAATAGAAATCGTAAGAGTAGCCTTTATCTAGTGGCCTAGAACTTGATTATGAAAAGTGTTACTGAAGATAAAGGAAACATGACCTCATGCCAGTGTCCGGGAGACTTACAGGAATGGAAAGGACCCAAGTGGAACTGCTGGTAACTGAAACTCATCTCATCAATTTCAAGTGTAGTCCCTCTTCCCAATTCACCAGAGAAAACACAGTCAGCTTTGCATACAGTGTCTGGTGTCAGAATGACCAAACGATTGGCTTCCATCCCTTCAGGATCGTGGACAGAGAGTCAAGCCATACAACCAGCATGCCCGCCTGGTCAGCTGCGAGTCAGACGAGATGAAGAATGCCGTACATTATGGGTCACTGCTTTGAAGTGTTCAGAGGCCAGAATAGTTCAAAATAATTGTGTTAATTATTAAAAGTAGAAGAAGTAGAAGCCAAAATTATGCCTGCCCGCATTTTAGTTTTGAATGTGTGGAGATCAGAAATTAAAAAAAAAAAATTATGAGTTTCACCTTTTAAACTTTGAGAAAAGACCGTAAGAACCAGTGTTTTAGTAAATCATCTTCAAGAGTAATTTACTCATAAAAAGAAAATAACTCATGATACCGTGTAAACAAAAGGCTAATAAATGCTGGTGTAAATAAGATTAAAGGAGGACAAAGATTAAGGAAAGTAGGACATATCAAAAAACAAATAAATGAGAAATTTTCAGAGCTTGAATATACAAACAGGCACATCAAAAGAGGTTCAGTGGAAACCTAATGCAATGAATGGGACAATTCATGTTTTTAAACATCCCTTGGAACCACAGAAAATACCAACAGAAAAATCTGGTCACGTACAAGAGATAAGAGTCAGGGGTCCATGGATGTTCTTCTTAGATGACAAGGACACTTCACTTTTATGGCATTGCTCCCACACATACATAACCCAAGTTTCATCATGAGCAAGCCTCAGCCAAAGAAAAATTGAGATGTATTTTACAACCTACCTGTTCAGGCTCTTTAAAAATGTCAAAGTTGGCTGGGCACCATGGCTCCCACCTTTAATTCCAGCACTTTGGGAGGCCGAGATGGGGGGTTCATTTGAGGTCAGGAGTTTGAGACCAGCCTGGCCAACATGGAGAAAACCCAACTGTACTAAAAAAATACCAAAATTAGCCAGGTGTGGTGGTGTGGGCCTGTAATCCCAGCTACTTGGAGGCTGAGGCAGAAGAATTGCTTGAACCCAGGAGGTGGAGTTTGCAGTGAGCAAAGATCTTGCCACTGTACTCCAGCCTGGGAGACAGAGCAAAACTCAATCTCAAAAAACAAAAACAAAAACAAAAAAGCCAAAGTCATGAGAAACAAAGTAAGACTAAGGAACTGTCACAGATTAGAGGGGTCTGAGGAAACATGAAAGTTAGATGAAATAGGGTATGCTACTCAAAGTTCTAGAACAGAAAGCAAGACATTAGTTGAACAACTAAAGAAATACAAATAAAGTCTATTTTAGTTATTATTGTTGTACCAATGTTAATTTCTTAGTTGTAGCAAATAAAACATCATTATGTAAGATGGAAACTTTAGGAAAAGTGGGGGGAAAGATATACAGGAATACTTTGTATTATCTTAGAAACTATTGTAAGTCAGTATTTTAATATAAAATTATTAGAAATTGTGTCAGAAACACTGGATGTTAGAAGACAATGGAGGAATGCCTCAAAAATTCTACAGAGAACTTATTTTCAATCTATCATCATAACATCAATCAAGTATGAGCTTCAAATTATGATATTTTATAATACAAAAATAATTCTGAAAATTTACCTTATGCCCATATTTTTTTAGAAAATTACTTCAGGATGTGCTATAGTCAAACAGAGGGATAAACTAAGAAAAGGTATAGTATGAGATATAGAAAAATATATAGACAAAATTTAGAGAAACAATAAAAAGAAGTCCTATGATACTAAAAATTTCAATGAGAAATTCCAAGAAAATAGAAAAGCTGTGTATAAATGAAAACACTATATAACCATTATTTCCTTCTTGACTTTTACAACAACATTTACTTAGCTACCACACTGAAATCACTATTCATTAATTTTAAGTAAACTGGCATTGAGAGTTTTTAAAAAACATATGAAGATATACAATGTAATCAAGAAACTACTGTGTTTATTTCAGATTCAAACATTTTAACCACAAAGAACAAAACAACCTCAACTGAGAGCAGGCTTGATTTAGGTAAGTAAAGATTTGGATTTGAGGCAGTGAATATAGGAGGCATTGGCAAAGTTTGGGAAAAGACTGGTGGGCTTTGTGAGGCGAAATGACCACTCCGTGAGAATTGTGAAAATAATATAGATGTGGAATCCTGTAACAATGGCAATTAGTGATGAAGTGGTGACATGGAAATAAAGAGAAATGGCTCAACATGATCATTTTTAGAAGGAAAAGCATTGAAACTTTAGAATGAGATTATGAAAAAAAGAGGATGAGAAATTGTGTTTCCAAGGTTTATTGCAAAATCTGTGATGATGGCATACCTCAGATAGAAATGAATTATTTTAAAGGAAACCAGCTTTTAGAGAAAGATAATGAATCCAATTTTGAACACGTTGAATTCAAAGTGACAATCCGTCATCCATGCAGACTATCATGTAGACAGATAACCAAATAGGATAGAAACACCCACCATATAATAAAACCACGGGTGCACTCATTGAGTGAACCAGCACAGATAAACTATACTCTACTCTAGGGGCTCTCATATCTGGAAATAGTAAGACTCAATGAAGGCAGTAAAGGGAAGTTAAAACGAATGAGATTAACTTGGGAATTCAAGAAGATCTTCTTTGGCTTCCATAGGATCCTAGACTGTTTCTATGAAGAAGTCAGTGTTCAGCCATGGCCCAGAACGGTGATGGCTGAGAGCAGGGCCATGGTTTGGTGCTCAGAGACCATTCACCCTCTAGGAACAATTGATGGAGAGAATAAATTGGGGAAAGAGTAAATATAGGGCAGTTGAAGGAGAGAATAAATTGGAAACCAAGAATGCCACGGCTAAAAGGGAAGGAGCAGGCAAGTTTGCACTTTTGAGGAGAAATTCCAGGAAGGGATTTCTCCACATTTCCATGTTAGGTCAGAAGCATGTGACATGCTATAGAGAAAGATGGATTTTTTTAAATGAATAAATGAGATAGTTGGCATTTTTGGCATTTTTGGCAAAGAAAGATTTCATTTTCAAGACCAAAACTTAAACAGCAATATTTAGGAGAAAAAATGTTTGTCAAATTCCTGCTGAATTTGAAAGCAACAACGTATTAAAGCTTTCTCTTCTTTCCTGCAATAGTTGATGTTCACAACACAGTATCCTCCTTGCCCTGGTGGGAATATGCTCCCCCTTGCCCTCATGGGAATATGTTCCCCCTTATCCTAGTGGGATGCATTCTAAGGCTCCCAGTAGATGCCTGAAACCATGAATAGTACCAAGCCCTACACATACTATGTTTTCATCATATACATACACATGTGTGATAAAGTTTAATTTATAAATTAGGCGTAGTTAGAGATAAACTATAATAGCTAACAATAAAATAGAATAATTATAACTATATACTGTAATAAAAGTTGTCTGATGGGGTCTTTCTTTCAAAATATCTTATTGTACTGTACTCACCCTTTTTTGATGATGTGAGAAGATACTATGCCTATGTAATGTGATGCAGTGAGGTGAATGAGAAAGACATCATGATGCAGGGTGGCCTACTATTGACCTAATAATCAGGTTGTGTCTGCAGCATGGAGACGCTGGAAAAGGGATGATTCACGTCAAGGGAAGAATTGAATGGGACAGCAGAGATTTCATCATGTTACTCAGAGCAGCACACAATTTAAAACTTAGGAATTGTTTATTTATAGAATTTTTCATTTAATATTTTGAAAAGACAGTGTGCCACAGGTAATTGAAACTACAGAAAGTGAAAGTGCAGATAAGGGAGGACTACTGTATTCTTAGAGCTAAATTGTGTGTCATTGGAATATTATTGATAGTTTTAATCAAAGCACGAATTAGATCAACATGGGTGGTACTATTAGGAAGGATATTAGATTTTCAATTCAAACTCACATCTTTCAAAGAAAAATATTTTGAGTCTCTGCTATGAGATAGATACTGAGGAATGGTGTAGATATGTATTAGTCTGTTTTCATGGTGCTAATAAAGCCACACCCGAGACTGGGCAATTTACAAAAAGAAAGAGGTTTAAGAGACTCACAGTTCCACGTGACTGGGGAGGCCTCACAATCATGGTGGAAGGCAAGGATGAGTAAGTCACGTCTTACATGGATGGCAGCAGGCAAAGAGAGAGAACTTGTGCAGGGAAACTCCTGTTTGTTAAAACCATCAGATCTCATGAGACATAGTCACTATCATAAGAACAGCACAGGAAAGACCCACCCCATGATTCAGTTACCTCTTACCAGGTTCCTTCCACAAAACGTGGGAACTGGGGGAGTTAGAGTTCAAGATGAGATTTGGGTGGGGACACAGCCAAACCATATCAAGATAGCAGCAGAAATAAGCAGAAAATGAGTGATTTTAAAATTACTCAGTTTATTACTGATATTCTGATGTACATTCCATAAGAGATAATTACATTCTACACCTAATGCCAAAGTTTTTACAGTTCAAATTCTAGGAATGAGAGCTGCCCAAGAACCATTGCCAAAAAGTTACAGGGAGAGCCTCAGCGTTTCTTTGGACTCTCCAGTTCCTTCCTTCTCCTTTCTCTTTCCTTGCTCTTCTCTCTCCATCATTCTTCCCAGGTTTCCCCAGTGCTGAGGACTCAGCCTCCATGATGTTGCCTCAGAGACTTTCTATCCATAAGGTGTTATTGCACTGTGTCTCAGAGGAGAGGAGGGAAGTCATCTGGAGAAGGTTCAGTGCACCTCAGCTGTGTCTGTTGCCTGTCCATTGCTCCTGCTTCCTAATCCCTGCCAGGGGCACACCTGGAGAAACTTAGGAAACCCTTCAGAAAACAATGCAGAGAAGACCCACCAAATATAAGCCATTCAGTGTGCCCTGTCATAGGTTCAACCCAAATCTTGTTTCAAGTTACAGATAGAGAATTGCAGTGCTTCTTATTAACTTTGAGAGTTTTATTCATGCTTCAGAAAGTTGCTAAACAGTGTAAATGACTATTTGGGAGAAGAATAAAAGAACTACTCAGAAAATCTGAAAAGGGTTCAAATAAATTCCAGTGCACTTTGATTCTTCCTTTACAAATACAAAGGATTTATGGTCTTTTGCATCAGCCAGGGTGGCCACTGGGAAGTCAGAGTTTATCTATATCCACCTGCACATTTATTACAACCATTTCTTTATATTTATATTTTTATATATTATATATTATATTATATATTATATATTTATTATATTATATATTATATATTTATTATATTATATATTATCTATTATATATTTATTTATAAATAAAGAATAAACCATTCTTTATTTATAAAGAAATTCATATAAATGAATATATTATATATTATGTATAGTTGTATAAAATTATATATTATAAATTATATATTACATATAATTAATATATATTTATAATTATATTGTATATAATTATATAAAAACTTTATATATTATAACATATATAATATATAATTTATAACATATAATTTATATATACTATGTAATATATTATATATAATGTATATATACATACATATTCCCACATTAGTGGAAACACTAATGTTATTTTAAAAGACTATCATAAACTCACTGAAAAGAAAAAGTTAACAGTTTGTTTCCAAGACTTGAGGACATCAGTTGGAATAACGTTTCTTCCATAGACTTAAATGCATCTCTGGTGTCTTGGAAAGGCAATTTCCTCTCAAATGGGTAAAGTGGTTATACTAACTCTGTATAAAAATGAATACAATAAAATAGGCACAAAGAATCTAACCACTTGAAACATCACATCTTTATTCTATAGCTGCAAGCTCAGAGAGAAAATGATCCCACTATTTTATGGGAGTAGACAAACACTTTATTGAGGGTTTTCTATGTGTCAGACACTGTGTACATTTTGCCATGTTGTCCAGATTTTATTAAATGCAGTCCTTTTCCTTTTTAATGTCACCATTCGGAGGTTTTTCTCAAGTCACTCTGGTGCACCATGAGATCTAATCCCCATTAGTGTGACATACATGCTGATATTATGTAAGTGTGTGTGCATATGTACACTGACACACATCGTTTGCATCTGTAATTTTTTTTTACCCAGTTGCCTCATGAAAGATTAAAAAGGAAGATTATACTCCATTCAGAGTTTTGACAATGCCTCAATAATAAATCAGTTCTCATCATTTGAAGAACTATGAGGTGGAACAAAAACTGATTTGAGATTCATACCGTTGTATACCTACTCTTTAAAAAAAAGATGCAATTTACACATCTGCAAATCTTAGGAAATGGCTTAGAGAATTTGCATGATTTGGGCACATGAAGCCATTTTAGCACATCAGTTCCTTCCTTTCATCTCTGGTGGGGGTAGAAAGGATACAAACATATTTTTTGCAGATGATGTGAATTATTGACGGGCATAAATAGCAACTCACACTAAATGCTTCAGAAATGTGCTTTTTAATTGAGTGAAGATGGAATAAAAAATATGCAGGAAAAATCCTGTTTTATGAGAGCTGAAGATACAGAATTAGATACACTGTTTGTGAGTGTGTGTATATGTGTATGCCATAGCTAATATTATAATTTTTGGTTGGTCTTCCTTGTTCATTTAATGTTTATAGCATTTGTTGAGGGATTTTTACTAAATGATGACAAAATAATGAAGCAGATTAGTAAGAAAACCTAGAAAATGGTTCACTAGACCTTTACTGTCTATATTAAATAGATGAACTAAAAGGTAAATACAGATTTTTACCCACTAAAGAAAACGACTAGAATTTATTGCACTTTAAATATATCATGCAGCGTATTGTAAAATAAACCCAATTGCATGTTCTCTTAAAGGACTATATTAGGGTATTGTAAATAGTTTTCCTAAAAGTGGATTTTTTTGCACCACAATTCAAATAATGCCAGAACTGCCAGCTATAAACCAAAATGTGAAGTACATGAGCTTGAAAAGCTCTTAGTGTTCATGTGGATCAGTCCCTTTTTACACTGGAAACAGCTACAGAAAGTTCCAGCCGATAATGAAAGACGGTGCACAATGGCTGTGACCAGAACCGTGATCAAATCCGGTCATAGTGAGTCTTCTGGCCAGCATCGGTTTTCTACCACGTATGTTTTGCGGCCTCCATAGATATTAAAGGAAAACGGAATCATTGGCAATCTGCAATACTCAGATTCTCGGTTTTGAGAGATTATTTACCCCTGGGAGCCTTTCTGACATGAACACTAACCTTGGGTGTAGTAACAAGGAGTAAATAGAATAAACAGTCCAACTTATATGAATGCAAGGCATTATAATGTGACCAATTTTGTTGGTTATTTCACTTCATTGACGCTAGTTCAGTTGGCTCTGTGAATGTACATAGGAAATTTAGAAATATTAATCTGTTTTTATTTTTTTCCTCTAGGTTAACTGCAGTGAATGAAACTATTGGATTATAATTCCATGAAGATAAGAAAAAGCTCCAGATGGTTTTCATCCTATCACCAGGACCTGCACAGTGTGAGTGCCTGGTGCATAACAAACTTTATTATTTATCTCTTCTCTCTTTCTTCCCCCAACCATGTGTATACATACACTTGCACACACATACATGTATGTACATACACATATATATGTGTGTATGGACACATACATGTATACACATGTATATATACACATGTACATTCATATATATACACATACACATATATACAATAAATAAATGGTTGAATGGCAAAATGACTAAATGGATTTAGTAAAACATAATGATATGCTACAGAATTGTCAAAGAGCCCTGAAATTGAGTAAAAATGAATGAACTAAATTCCAAGATCTCTTACGACCTATGATTTCATTCTAGCAGAAATTTGTAAATATGTGTACCCTAGATTTGTACAAAATGTTAATGGTGGCATTATTTGGAATAGCTCCAAACGGGAAAAGCCCAAATGTCAATCAACAGTAGAATTGATGAATATTGTTATACCCATAGAATGGAATTCTAGACCACAATTGAAATGAGTAGATTATTGCTACACCCAGCAACATGGATGAAGCTCCAAACTCCTTGAGTGGATAAAGCCAGACTGTATATGATTACATTCTCTATAAGAACTTTTATTCAAATTTCAAATACAAGCAAAACTATTCTACAGTGAGAAAAGACAGTGGTTACCTTTAGTGGTTAGTGTACCCAGGCTGGTGCAGGAGGGAAGTTTCTAGGTAACGAAGATGTTTTAATTCCTGATCTAATTCTAGCTATACTGATGGGTTTACTTTGAAAAATTCATCAAGGTGACTATGCACTTTCTGTATGTTTACATGAAAATTTCAAGGACACACTTGATTGTATGACTTTGGACGTTACTTTTCTTTTCTGTGCCTACATTTCCTCAATTGAAAAGTGAGGAAGAGAATGCTTACCTCTAAGGATTGACACAAAGATTAGCGGCCGAGCATGGTGGCTCACACCTTTAATACCAGCACTTTGGGGAGCAATTGCAGGTGGATCACAAGATCAGGAGTTTGAAACCAGCCTGGGCAAGATGGTAAAACCCCGTCTCTACCAAAAAAAATACAAAAAAAATTAGCCAGGCATGGTGGCGTGCGCCTATAATCCCAGCTACGTGGGAGGCTGAGGTAGGAGAACGACTTGAACCTGGGAGGCTGAGGTTGCAGTGAGCCAAGATCATGCTACTGCACTCCAGCCTGAGTGACAGAGCGAGACTCCATCTAAAAAAAAGAAAAAAAAAAAAAAGAAAAAAATAGATTAGCGATTAGCAAGTAGAGTATGTGTAAAATCACCTGGAATAATGCCTGGAATGTGTGTTCAGTATTTAATTGTAGAAACAGTTACCTTCATAAACAACAGGACATTGTGGGAACATCTGTTAATTACCGAACAGTCTTTTTAGGCCCACCTGGGGTTTGTGGATAGTAATTTTTATTAATAACACCTTTATAATGGCTGAAATCACAATGATACTGTGTCAAATTAACCTACAGTTAAGAGCTATGCTTCTTCTTTTTGCCAACTTATTTGTTTTATTTGTTTTTAATTGACAAATAAAATTGCATGTATTTCTCTTGCACAACATGATGTTTTAAAAGGTACATACATTGTGGAATGGCTAAATTGAGTTAATTAACATATGCATTACCTCACATAGTTATTTTAGGAACTGTGTTTCTAGAAGTCTGTAAGGTAGATTGATTGATATTTTTAACCAGATTCATTCATTCATTTCTTCATTTAATCCAGGAATTTTTTGAGGGTCAGTTTCATAGCATGCTCTGCACTAAGTGTTGGGATTACTAAAATCAAGAAACAGTTACTGACACAACAAATCGATGTGAGGTCCTAAAAGAGAGAACACAGAGAGACACATAAAAACATAGTATAACACAATATATTAGAATATACACAACAAAACATATAAGATAAACACAGAAATGCTTGGAGCAATGAATTTGATAATTAACAGGTTTAGAAATGTTTTGAAAAAATGTATGCTAATATGTCTTGTGTTCAAAATTTATTATTTAGATAATTAATTTTTAATTATGATAAAATACATAATATAAAATTTATTATCTTAAGTACTTTTAAGTATACAGTTCAGTCGTGTTCACTATATTTATATTGCTGTGGAACACATCTCTAGAACATTTTTATCTTGCAAAACTGAGACTCTACACCCACTGAACAACCTTCCATTAATATTGTTTACATGTTAACATATTTAATTATATTATAATGCATTATCGATAACATTATATATAAATATATTTATAAATATAACATTATATATAAATATATTTATAAATATACATGAAATTTGTGTCTTTGAAGTATTAGTTTCAAAAAATGCTACATATATGTAAGGCTTCTAGTCCTATATTGGAGATCTGGGAAACTGGCCAGGATTTCAGTGTGAAAGAGGAAGGATGCCATGCTCTCTCCCACCTGTTTCAGAAAACCAGTGTGTAGAACATGCATAAGGGGCTTGATACATTTTTTATAATGGTGTTTATATTTTCATTTTCTTTTTCATAGTGGCAATGAAAGCAAAGGAAAGAGCTAATGTCCCACAGGCCAGTGCGTAATTGCGAACTGTGAAGGGTGTGGGGTGGACTCACTGGGAGACGGGGAGCCCATGGACCCTTCCCCAGCTCCTTTGCTCCCACAGCAGCCTTTTCCCTTCTCTTTCCTTGTCTCACAGTGTAGAAGAGTGACATTTCAAAAAGTATAGCAGCAGAAGTGTTTTTACCTATAACAAAAGATGTATGTATAATCACATTATGACATACTACAAAGTAGGTAAAAGTAGTAGTTTTTAGTACTTTTATAAATTCAAACTTAGCAATTTTCCTTATTTCAACATTAATATCAATAGGCATTAATGTCAGTTTTTTAAATGCCAGTGATTTTTAACCTGCTGAAATTTGTTTTGTAACTTACTGTGGGGTAAATGAGATATTTAGTTACACTTTTAAAAGTATTGCTTGTGTATGAAATACCTTGAAATAAAAGTTTGAAGATGTCCTATGAGTCGTTACGAAAAGAGTAGTTGTGAAAGTTTCAAAATGACAGAGTAGGAGTTCATTTATCCAAAAAAGAGGGAAATACAGCTGAAAGAGTTAAGAAAGAATTTAGTGGATGCGGAGAACAGCAAACAATGGTTAGAGCATTGTGAATCTTCGGCTTTGATCTTGAGAACCTAGCTGGATAGGACTGTCACTGGCTAAGATTAAAATGTAAGAATATCAGGGGAAATGCATTTGAGAAAAGTAAAACATTTATTTTGTACATATATAGCTTGAAATGCATATGGGAAATGTAGGTGGAGATTTTTAGTAGGCAATAGCATATGCGAGTTTGAAATGTAATGCAGATATGTGATCTAAAATTGGTTCTCAATTCTGACTGCACATTAGGAAACTTACTGTTTAAAATGACTAAATATCAGGTCCAACTGCAGATTGATTAAGTTCAAATTTATGGGGATGTGTGCCTGATTTTTTTTTTTTTTTCATATAAAAAGACTCCCCAGGCAATTATAAGAAACTCCCAGCTTTGGAAACTGCTGGCCTACAATTAGTGTCAATATCATCATTGCGTGGGTTGTCGTTGGGTGGATGAGAATAAGGATGAATGAGAACATCTAGTGAGTACAGGTTGTTCCTCTTCTCGTCTTCTATTTTCCCTTCAGATCTGCGCTTTCATGTAGACTGGGCACCAGAGCACTCTGAGCCCGGTGGACTGCACCAGTAGACTCTTCCATCCTCAGGTTTTTGGTAAGCACCATCTAGAGGAGGCATAGAGAGAAAAATCAGAGACCTAGGAAGGTGAAAACAGATTTTTTTTTTTTTTTTCCCAGCTTCCTTTCTGCTGGGTCAAGAGGTGACCGCAGGTTGAGGGCCATTCTCAGTCAAAGGCCACAGCTGCAGCAGGTGCACCTCTTCACACAGCTGCTTCTAGAGTCTGCTTAGCTGCTACAGGTCAAGGGATGATGAGGCTAGCTCTATAGTTCTGAGCCATCCTCAGTTGATTCCCCTAAACCCTGTCAGTCCCTTTGTAGACAGTACCTTCATTAAATATTCCTCATTGGTTAAAAAGCAGTGACGTTGTGCTGAATATTCTATGCCAAGCCCCAGCCTGCCGCAGTAACATAAGAAGAGTTGTGGTCTGAAGATGGAACCAAGGGAGAAAATGACTTTTAGAAGATGTAACGAGGGACCCAGGGAAAGTTGTGGCAATGGAATCTGAACATGTAGAGTTTAAACGTAAGAACAGAAAAATAGCTGTTGTATTTGAAAGGTCATGAAAGGCTTTTTCCCGAGAGAAATTTTAGTGGTGCGCTAACAAAAATCAGATGGCAGGGGCTGGGGCATCAATGCAAGTGAAGAAATGAAGGATGGTTATTTGACAAGTTTGATGATAGGAGGAATAAAGAGTTTGGATTTATTAAAAAGAAGATGTGGAGCTAATCAATTGAGATTGCCAAACTCTTTTAATGAAAATTAGCTGTGCTCTATCTCCAGCAGTTATGACAGAGAACTAATAATATCACCAAGAGACTGTTGATGTGAGGGCAATATATATACGCACTGTTATAAAGCCTTAGATTTTTGATAGGTACTCAAGGAATAACACAGAGTTAAGTCTTGATTTTTAAAATGAACAAAGATATGAAGAGAAAATACAGAATATGTACAAATAATCAAAACATATGAAATTATGGCCATCCCTGGTAACCAAAAGAAGGCTACGATGAGCAATGATACATGTTTCACCTTACAACTTCATAATGATTCAGAAAATGGGCTATAGCCAGTATTGGCAAGAAGGTAAATAAAGTCCATTTTTGGTCAGAATGTCAATTTATATATCTTTTCTGAAGTCTGGTCTTTGCACTCTAACACTTTTTTTTTTTTTTTTTTTGAGACAGAGTCTCACACTGTCGCCCAGGCTGGAGTGCAGTGGCATGATCTCGGCTCACTGCAAGCTCTGTCTCCCGGGTTCAGGGCATTCTCTTGCCTCAGCCTCCCGAGTAGCTGGGACTACAGGCGCCTGCCATAACACCAGGCTAATTT